TAGCTCGATAGTTATCGAGATTTTTAGGGTCACCCTTCTTTTTGTATATGGGTTTTATTACTCCAATTGTCCATGCTTCTGGTACACGGCCAGAGTTCAATATAACATTAAAAAGTTTAACATATATAGGTAGTAGTATAGACTGTGTATTTTTGATATGCTCATTTAATATATTATCGATACCCGGCGCTTTATTATTACGAAGGTTAACTATAACCTGTCTAATTTCATTTTCAGTCACATCACTATTTAGTATAAAATCAAACATATTTTCATTCATATCTGGAATAATAAACTCATCCTCATCTTCATCTTCATCTGAACTATTTAATTTCTTGAAGTATTCATATAGCTCGTCCAAAGATATATCAGCATCACTGTTATCATTTTTAGATTTATTGAATGAATTTAAAATATTCCAAAAATCTTTAGGATTTGATTTTGACGTGATTCGTATTTGATTTTCAATGTTATGTCTATATGTGTTATAGCTCTTTTTAAGGACCTTTTTATAGTCTCTAGAGGTTTTATTCATATTAACTCGGTTACTACTGGTTCTATGATTTTCAAATTTATGTTTTGCATAAAAAAAGGCACGCCTTTTTCTGTGACAGTCAGCTGTAAACCATGGCTTATCATTAGCAACTTTATGTGTATTGAGTGTTCTATAAGTTTGTTTTAATCCGAAAGTATCGGTAGCTGAAATTCGGAACAACTCGGAAATATAATTAACTACATCATTTACTTCAGACTGACTGACAGAAGGTTTGTCAGACAAAACATTAAGTGCATCATTTATGCGGTTTAATTCATCGACAGAACAACTTTGTACATGATGTATAAATTCATTTTTCTTATCATTCTTCCATGTTATATATCGACCTTGACCGTTACCTTGACCTTGACCAACATGCATATTATCAGAGTCATTCGTGTTTTTCAAAAAGCCACTGAGAGTAAAAAATAACCTACAATGCACATCGGATATTGTTGGATCAAACTCAAGAACTTCAAATTCATTTATAAAAGGGAATAACCCTGACGAGACAATTAGATAGTCAACAACACTGACGTCACCACAGTTTTTTTTTACCTAAATGCTTATCTTTACCAACTCTACCATTTGCAATGTATAAATTGTTATTTTTACACAGGTCAAGTAGTTTAAATCCATAAGTATTAGGTCTGGATGAGCACTGGCTACATCGCTGCAATGGAATATTAAAAACATTTAACATTTCATAATCATGAAAATAAGAATGTAACACATCAATATTGTCTATATCTACGATATCTGCAAGACTATCGTCAGGTATTTCATAGTCTGGACGCTGTCCAGTTTTGGCATTAAAATCACCAACCAAGATAGTGTTACTTACACTATGTTGAAGCTCATGTAACTCATTTTCAATCTCATTAAATACCTCGGGAGACGAGTACCTAGAGTTTTCGGGTGGTATATAAGTACAACCTAAAAGTAGGTCACCTTCAGTATTTGTTACCTTTTCAGATAATTTGACCCATTGAACGTATTCAGAGCCTGTAGGATAAAACTTCAAAAATGGTTTTAGTTTCTTTTTGTAAATAATTACAATTCCACCGGATTTTTTCTTAAAATTAGATCTGTTTTTCACGAAATATGAATAATTTTCAGGCATTTCCAGAATATCAAAATTGTCAATTTTAGTTTCGACAAAAACAAGAATATCATGAGATGTAATTATATCAATAAACTCAGGCAAAAGCAACTTGGACTTAATGCCACAAACATTTAAACAAGTCAGTTTTAAGTCAGGACACACACCACCATGGTTACCATGGTGACTTACACCGGGACCTCTTGTGACGCGTCCCTAGCGACGATGGCCAGTTGCTCCTGGCGGAGCGACATGGCGCGTTTGGTCCTGATGATGAGACGGAAAACGAAGTTGGGATGGCGGCCGACGCTGCTGTGACGGTGTTTGTGGATGTAGTGGTTGAGTGTAAAGTTGCCCATCGACGTACAACTTATCCACTCTCAGCGTAGCCCTTTTACCGTGACGTTTCGCTTCCTTCATGATCGGGATGAGCTCTCTGCGCCTCTCGTTAATCTCGGCGGGAAACTGTTCATTAACGGTGAACTCATTTTTGCCCCTTAATTTGACTGGCGCCGACTTTAAAACCATCTCGCGATCCTTTCTATTTTCGAATTTGGCTATAATCGTTCTGGGTTTCCCGTCTGATCTGGGCCGTAACCTGTGCACAACACTGAAATTCATATCGGACTCGATTTCTAGCTGTTTCTGGATAAATTCTTTTACAGTCCCCTCCGTGTTTTCCTCCCCTGACTGCTCCGGTATACCCCCGAATAACAAATTATCCTTCATAGATCTGCTCTGGAGAGCAAGTATTTGTTCTTTCATCTCCTGACACTCCCACATTTGATCATCGCGAACTTGCTCTATATTACTGACCCTCTCCTCAACAAGTGTTTGGTGAAAGTCAATTCCAGTTAACTTCTCCCCGTGTTCCTTTAATTCATTCCTGATCTCGCTTATAGTTTGGTCAACCTGTGCAAATCTATTTTCAATGGAATTCAATCTGTCATATATTTTGGGTAGCAGTTCAAGTTTGGATAGTCGGTTGTATATATCAACTATTACAGGGTCTGAAGTCGGGGCGGGTGGGGCGCTGTGCTGTTGGACGGGGGATGGTGGTACCGGTGGTGGAGATGGAATAAAATTCCCGGTTTGCATTGGAGCGTAGTTACCGGACATATTTGGCTGAGTGAGTGAGGGAGGCAACGAGGGTGTTATACTGGTAGTACCTGGATAGTTGGGCTGATAGCACGGGTTATAAAGTACATTATGTGCATTATCCATAACACTGCTCGTTGGATACGTGGCACCGGGTGCGCTGGACGTACTCACACTGGTCACGGGTGACTGAACACCGGAATCACGTTGTTGACGTTTTCGATTGTTTTTACCCATAGAATGGTATGTTAATATCTAAATAACACTACACACATCACTGGAGTTCCTTACCACAATAAATACCAGTAGAAAACGGTCAAAAAGTCTTGAGATGTGCCGTAATGAGCAAAATTTTGTGGAGCTCCACACCTGTACGTCTTTACCTGTCCACCATATCACGTGCTCTCTCTGTCCGATGTTCGTTATAGTATAAATATATGTTTGTCTATAATTGATAAACCATGTAAACAATCCTGATGAACGCTTACGGCGATAAAGAGAACAAGGACACTGGCATTGTGTTTGATGTTTCACGCTTTACTGCTTCACGTCAGAATTGTAAAGAGCAACATTAAAATCACTGACGAACATGACAAAAGTCAGATCACATGTTTTGTATTGAATCATCAATAATAACGCCAGTTCTTAGCCAATGTGAGGGAACTGAAAACGGGGTGAAACCCCCTGAACGCATACATCTTTAGGACAATAGGTAGAAACATCAAAGGGAGGGTAATTATAGTGTGTATGATACCTATATTTACCTGAGATATTTTACCTGTAGATATACCTTTGGCTTTACAGGTAAAAAGTTATGATTTTTATCAAACTTGCATAAGGTTCCAAAGAATATCATCATCATCAGTGTGAAAGAAAACTAAGACAGTAATATCAAGTTCAATATTATTTGATTAACCCATACTTAATATCAATATATTATTTACAATTAAATTCCAATTGAACAGTGATATACCTAAATTTCAGCTTTCATTTATATCATGTATTGGGAAAATATTACTTCTAAATACTCTGATGTATTCAAATATATCTTTAAAGATGTTAAATCATGAAACTTAATCAGTACATTACAAAGTTGTTAGTTGTATAAAGGAGGTCACATATTGATAGAGGAAAATACTAGACTTCAACTTACTAATATAGAGCACTATGAATTATAAAAGAAGTTATTTACATGAGGTACAATACTGCCATCTGCCTTATGCTGGTGCAAATTAAATAATAGTAAGAATAATGCTGTCTCATTGTTTGATTCAATATGTTTTGTCAAATCATAAAAATGTAACATCTTCAAAACACTGAAAAGTGTCTCCTTATATAAAAAAAAATATAAGAATAAAAAAAGTTTGAAATACCAGTGAAATATTCCTTTATCTGTGATTAATATATAGTCCCTAACCATTCCTTTATTATATGATTTTGCTTTCAAAGTAAGGATTAAAAGTTATTTAACTCTGTTTATTCATTAAAAAACATCAGAAAAAAACTGTCTTGAGGGAAAATACATATATGACGAAGGCTGAAATGTTTGTGTAGCTCAGACGATACATTTAACATGCTATTTTTGCATAATGGCTGGACTGCTAGATATTGCAAAGGGTACATATGTAGCAGCTCCCCTATTTTCGTTTCAACATTTTTTTTGAATTAACAAAAGGTTAAGACAACAGGCAGTGCCTATATATAAGTCTTCTCTGACAGCTCCCCTACAGGTTACCATTCGCATAGCCACAAATGAGAACGCTAAATGCTAAAGCTATAAATATTAAATATTAAATACTTGAACACATTATAGGTTTTCACGTTTCCTGTTAGCATAAAACAGATACTTCCAAGTGTTATAGAGTTCTTTGACATTATTTTCACTCAAAAGTTTTATAAATTTGAACACACTTAGATTTCTGTAGTAAAAAGTCTTTTATATTTCTTTCCCTTAACTCTTCATAAAATGAACACTTCAATATGAAATGAAACTCATCCTCTACATCACCGTCATTACATCTGTTACACAATCTATTTTCTCTACCAATGTTTCTACGACATCCAGTTTCTATGATAAGATTATGCGCAGATAATCTAAACCTTATAACATACGTTTATATTTTTCTTTAATAAGCTTACATAAATAATATTGTATAACGAAGTTATCAGTAAGATGTTGGTACAAAAATCCTTTATATGCGTTTTTAATTCTACTTAGCATTTTTTGTTTATTTACGTCTAACAATCTTTGTTTTATTACATTTAATGCAGCAGATACAGGTAAATCATTCTTAAACAAATGCACAAGACCGAGAACCGTCATTTCATGCTTTATATTATCCATCTAAATATCATTTTCACTCACACACTCATCATAACATGCCTTCAGAACACAATTGTCTGTGCACTTTAGTATTAACCAGTATTTAAAAGCTCTTACTTTTCTTGTAATTAACAATGGTAATCTTCCCCATTCATTGTACACTAAATCATTGCTTGTACTTTTTCTTACTCCTAAAATTGCCTTACAAAATGCTAAATGTACCTCCTCTATCACATGCATTATGAACTCCCTATATTTCTGATGCATTACCAACGATACTACTAATATATATATATATATATCAAAAACAGAACAAAACGTTTCTAAATTTAAAGTGTAGTTTCCTAAAGAGGACATTAGTGAAAATAAAGCCTTTCTACCCTGTCATGCTAAATGTTTCTGAAGTTTTGCGAATTTTCCATTATGTTTCATCAGAGCACCTAAATAGGCTGATATAGATGGGGGTCAACTGTCTTTAAAAAGAGAGACGGGGACTCGGTCACTACACGTATAATTGCATCAAATGACCACAAAATAAGAAATTATGAAAATCGTGACCAAAATAAAGACACGTGTCTTAATTTCCACACAAATACCCCATGAAAGAGTTGACCATATCGATTACAGTTTTCTCACTCGGGTGAACGTTAACATTTGCGATACATGTCGTTAAATCCCATTCATTCAAAAACACGATTTTATCGTGCAATTCTAACATTTCTTCATACAGGATTTGTTCGTGGATCTTTCTTAAATAATCAACTGCGTCAAAGTTTCCAGGATAAGTGATAGAGTGTGCCCCTCTAATAAACACTTTTGCTTCTGGGTTTCGTTTAAAGAGTCTGACTATTGCTAGCTTTGCATTTCGAATATGTGCACGAAATTCTATAGGCATGACTCTGAAGAGGTGATATGCATAGTGAATAACGACTATCACTTTCCTCAAACGAGGAACTTCATCTAAATGCCAAGCAACGGACTGAATGTGCTTTCGTGGGAAACCCGGTTCGCCACTATAAAATGGCATTTCGTGACAGCCCCACTGCATAGTTAGGTTCAAATCAGTTCGTTTATCTTTCCTTGGAGTCAATTTTTCCGTATTCATAGTTTTATTCGATTCAATTATTTTTTGAATCTGCCAAAACCACGAACGGATATTTGAATCGCCTAATAAAAGTAGATACTGTCCACGTAGACATTTCTCGTACGATTTCCGGGAAGGTACGAAGGTGATTCTGCAACCACGCAGATTCCATTTGTTGTGATGAAAAAATCCAACCGGAGATTCCTCGGTCCAAGTGTCTTTATATGGTCTCTTGTAACATGGTAGGTCAGGAGATCCAACATTGTCATGATCTGAAAATAATCAAGACTATAAGTTGCCGTATCATGTATCATTTAACTATTTTTTATTTTTTTTTAGAGTCTTCATACAAAGGACAGACACTATTTATACTGTATCATCGTGATTTATAAATATTCAAACTAGTTTTGAAATAAATAAATTTGAGTTAAAGATATTGTTAAAGGTGAGAGCCTAAACAAACAGCTTGTTCAAACCTTTTTATTACCTTAACTGCTAAACAAACATGGCATACATTTTATTATAGAAATCACTATGCAAGTTAACCTCGTTATACTGCCATCACTTGTCAGNTGGTTTTCCCGCCAAACTTTTGATAGTGTTTGGATAAATCCAGAGGGATATAGAACGTAAAATTACCCATGATTCTCAACCGTGTGCTGAGCGGTGGTGTGAGAAATTGCACGAAGTCGTTGTGTCTATTTTTAGTAACATTAGGTAGTTGCGTATTCAAACTAATTTCGGTGCCCGAGAATCCGAAAATGACGCTCTCGAATTGTGGGGAACAATCTCGTTCCCCACAAAACTGAACTATCCCCATAACGTTGGTCTTTTGACCAGTGAGACACCCCCACAACTACGGTATCTCGGGAGCTCTCTCTCTCTCTCTCTCTCTCTCTCTAATATAATTTGTCATTTCTACATGATGCCGTTGTTGAGTTGTAATGAAAGAATAACCTCTGAACAAACTAGACGAAATCATTGTGTTGAACGTGGTAGGGTGCATACTTACTTCCCCTTATTCTGATAGTTGGACTATTCTTCAGCAGCTGATGGCCGTAGGGCCTAATCGTTATAACAAAACAAATAACACTTTCTTGTTATTAAGGATTTTGACATTTTAAATCTTAAAGTTAAGCACTATTTCAAGTTTCAAATATTTCACATTAAAAGAAGTCTAAACGGTTAGATGCTATACATACTAGTAATTCTAATAAGTTTGAAAGAGCAATATACTACACATGAGTTCTTAATTATTCTTTCTTTGTTTTATGATCGATCCCGGATCGTATTTAACAATAATTCAAAAACAAATATACATATATGTAGATAATAAAAAAGAAAAATGAAATGAAATAAATTAGACATAAATGATCTAAAATGAATTTGATGCAAACAGAACATAGACGTTGTTCGCCATGTTCACAAGATGGTTCAATCTTTGATATCAATTTATTTACCTGATAAATCCTACTTTTGTTGAATTTATGTTGTGTGTTTTAACATCGTGCATTGTTTTCCAGTCCAGACATGTAACATTCGGATGAGAAGGTCTCCCACAATACCAGTGATAGCCATGGTTATCTGTAGTCAAATTACACATATCTCTTAATCCATAGACGTCCGGCTTTACACTGCACGTCGTTTTTTCTACTACTTTACTTTTCCCAAATCCTCCAAGCATGGCATACAACTGCCCATGTTTCTCAATATGCTTCTGCACGAGGGAAATATGTTCTTTTGTATTTGCAATCAACGTCTTAATGATACAATTACCTGTCCATAAACCCATTAAATAACCCGTGTATGACCCGTTTCCATGGTCCTTGACGTAACCATTCACACTTGCTTGCTGTAATGGATCTGTGAGCCATATCCTCAGGATATCACCTCCGGGGGTCATATGCTTCCCATATCCGTCATAGAGCTCGATACTTACTTGGATGAGTTCTCCAAGTCGATACTCGGTCTGATTGCGGAGAAGTGACTGTGTCGACGAAGCTCTATTTGCTATGATTTTCGAATCGTTGACATCTTTTAAAGAGAGGTAACCGTTATATGTCGATAAAGTTGTTTTGGAAACAGAAGCAGCGTAATCTCTATTGTTGAAGGCCGCCTGCTCAGATTCCTTCTGAAGATGTTCGTATGTTCTTAGGACAAGCTTTGTTTTATTGCTGTAAAACATAAATACATGACTGAATTAGCAAGTCTTACTGGAGTTAAATAAAAGTTGGTCGGCATTTTAACTCACAAAAGAATCAACTATTGCTGTCTTCTTTTGACTGTCGTTCTGTGCCCGGCGTCCGTTATTCATTTAACCTTTAACTTACTATTACTTTAGGGTATCTGTATCTTTAAATTGCTATGACTTATTCCAGGGGTGAAGAGAGCGAAAGTTAGCGTAACCCCTGGATGTCAATGATGATAATGGACATGTTTATTCCTTATATTTCCCGCTCGGTACAAACGTTCAGACGACCTGACGTCTGCTCATCAAATTTACGGTGGCCGTTTTTGAAAAGTGACTAATCAGTAAGAAGACGGGGTCCGGAATTCTCCTTCTGTCCTGATCAGACAGTTTGTTGATTAGTTACTCACATAACCTACAAAATGGCGTCGCTAAGGTGAGGAAATTTGAATAATCGACTCTACTGACTGAAAATAGTATCTATTTGTGATCATCAGAGCGATTTTGATCAATAAATAGTCTATTTATTGATATAGATATATGTAAAGCATATGTTGTGTTATACCAGTTTATAGGTCACCTGAGCTTTGCTCAAGTGACCTATATTCTAATCGCTTTCCGTCCGTCGTCGTGCGTCGTCCGTCGTGCGCCGTGCGTAAACTTTTTACATTTTCAACTTCTTCTCAATAACCAGTGGATGGAATATTTTCAAACTTGGTCAGAATCATCCTTGGTAGATGGGGCTACAGAATTGTAAAATTGGGATTCCTACCGCAACCCCTGGGGCCAGGACGGGACCCCATAGGGAAAATTAACCAATATTTCAAAAATCTTTTTCCCCTGACTCAGAGGTACTAGTCATTTTCTCTGCATGGAAAGAAAGATCATCAGGGGCTTTATCAAATTGTAAATTTCAGGACACACTAGATATACGTTCTCCCTTGGGGAGGGGGTAAAGTTTACTATAGTTTATATAGGGAAATAACACTTTTGGGAATATTTTGACAATTTTCCATAGTATTACATTGTAAAATTGATAAACTGAAATGGGTCACAGCATACAAACACCATATATGTGTGCTGCGGCCAGAATCAGCAAATGTGTATTTCAGACATTTGTAACGAACCCGTTTGATGTAATTGAGGTTTTTCCACATCCGTTGAATACACAACAGGGAGTATTTTTCTGATATTTTGCTTTGATTCGTTAGAGGTACTGTACAAACTTGATAAGGAACATCACTAGGACATGGGAATCTGAATTTATCAAATTTATGGGGCTACGCCCCCAGGGGCCTGAGGGGCGGGGCCAAATATTTAAAAAAAGGGATAATCTTTAAAAAACCAACGTCTTCTTTACTCCTTTAAGTAGCATAGAGTAATACCACATTTAATTATAATGATCACCTAGCTCTCTTTTGAATTTAAGAAATGTATGGCCCTGGCGTCAAAGGGTCAAGTGGTAGGGTGGGGTCAATATTGTATGTTATGGATCGTTGTTTCTTTGAAACAGTTGAGATCCCCACCCCATAACCACATAGAGTATTGCTGGGCATCAAGAGATAAACACAATCATGATGTAAAAATAGGCCCTGGGGGTTTTTCCCCACCCTTAGGGACTTAGTTTCTGGGTTATATCTTTGAAACAGTTGAGATCCCTACCCCATAACTATAAATAGCATTGCTGGGCATCAAGAGATAAACACAATCATAATGTAAATATATGCTCTGGGGTCTTTCCCCACCCCCAGGGACTTAGTTTATGGGTTATATCTGTTGAGATCCCCACCCGATAACCAAATATAGCATTGCTGGGCATCAAGAGATAAACACAAGCACGATGTAAAACAAGGCCCTGGGGTCTTTCCCCACCCTTAGGAACTTAGTTTCTGGGTTATATCTTTGAAACCGTTGAGATCCCCACCCTATAACCATATTCACAATTGCTGAGTATAAGAAAACGAATGCACATATGTTGCTTCCAGGATGGCCCCGGGGTCTTCCCCACCCTTGGAGACTTGACCGCTGGGCATAACGTCGAAATGAAAAATGATCCCCACCCCAAAACTTTATATACAAATACTATGCATGAGGAGATTAATGCAGTCATGATATTAAAATTGATCCTGGGGTCTTCCCAATCCTTGCAGACTTAACCCCTAGGTCACAACTTTGAAACGGTTGAAATCCCTAACCCAAAACTATATATACAAATGCTGGGCATAAAGAGACGAATGCAGTCATGATATTACAATTGATCCTGGGGTCTTGCCACAACCTTAGGGACCTAGGTTCTGAGTCACAGCTTGGAAATAGTTGAGATCCTGAGCCCATAAACAAATCTGATACAGATATGCAGGATTGGCCTAGGAGTCTGGCCCATTCCCTTGTATCTTATTTGGAGAATATTTTTTTGCCATGATTGCGTCGATATCCATGTAAGCGATACATGCCCTCTAGGCCTCTTGTTCTTTTATTTTCGGTATTTTATAAATCACTTTTCAGGCTTTTAACTTTCAAAACAAATAATAGTTCATTTGTGCTTAACAAGAGCTAAAACATTTCAGCCTTCGTCATATATGTACTTTCCCTCATGACATTTTTTTTTCTTAGGATTTTAAATGAACATCCAGTTTTAATGCAAAATCAGATGATACAGGAATATTGCGCTATTGTTTCAAACAATTTCTATATTATTTTTATTTTAATTTTCAAAATATAAGGAGACACTTTTTAGTGTTTTGTAGATGTTACATTTTTATGATTTGACCAAAAATATTGAAGCAAATTCAATATTATCTAAAAAAAACAACACTCTTCTTACTTTTTTTTAATTTGCTCCAGTATAAGGCAGATGACAGTATTGTACCTCATGTAAATAAATTCTTTTATAATTCATAGTGCTCTATATTAGTAAATTGGAGTCAAGTGTTTTCCCCTTTTCGTATGTGAGGTCCTTTATGCAACTAACAACTTTGTAATGTACTGACTAAGTTTCATTATTTAACATCTTTTAAATTATATTTGAATACATCAGAGTATTAAGAAGTATTATTTTTCCAATACATGATATAAATGAAAAGTGAAATTTATGTAGTTTTCTTTCACACTGATGATGATGATTATGATATTATTCTTTGGAACCTTATGTAAGTTATATAAAAATCATAACTTTTTACCTGTAAAATCACAGGTAGATCTACAGGTAAAATATCTCAGTACATAAATGATACAAACTTTAATATGTTAAGAGTTCGAAAATCTACACCAAACTCAATTATCTATTTCGAACTGGGTAGATATCCTCTTATCATTTCGAGGAAAATTAGAATTTTGAAGTACTGTTGTAAACTGTTGACTTCTAGCAACTGTATTTTAAATTCATGTTATCAAGATATATAAAATGAGTGTGAATCGAACCCACATTGTAAAAATTGGGTGGCTTCTGTTAAACAAGAACTCTGTTCTATTGGTATGTCGGAGTACTGACAAGCACAGGGTAGCTTCAATACACATCATTTTTTGGTTTTAGCAAAACAGAGATTGATAGATATTTTAAAACAAGACTGTGAGACTTTTTTCTCCACCTCGTCTAAGTGCATGGTGTATCAACATATTATTGAGCATGCCTGCCTTCAACCTTACTTAAGTTAACCTATTCATGTAAAGTACAAAAAAGCAATTGTCAAAATACGACTGTCTTCACACAATCTTTTAATAGATAATGGAAGGCATAGAAAAAATCCTCATAATTTAAGACTTTGTCCTTTCTGTAAAAAAAATGATATAGAAGACGATTCCACAATAGCGAACTAAGTAGTAAATATATTATAAATATATAATGAATACTAGTTATGTTATCAAATAAAGCAATGTCTACTAGATCCGTTGACATCGTTACTTACTCTGTTGCCTGCCTAATCCATTCGTAATTTTTATCACGAACCAGTTTAAGTACTAAAGCACATGTACATGTAGAATAGTTGACAGTTGCGGAGCTATTTCTGTAATTGTTATATTAGTTTCGTATTTTTAATTTTTTCCGTTTTTTAACCGATTTTTTTTCGGGGGTGCTTGCGTTTTGCAAAAATTCAAGATGGCGACGGCGTGTTGATTCGTCTATTCCATACACATATCCATTGACAATACGATGAAACTATATTGATCCGGTTTTACAATTTATCCAAAACAATGAATACATTTTTCACTTCTTGCTGCTTTTGTTTTGTTTCCCTTTCAAACACGTTTGACTGTCCACTCATCAGTAGGTTCGAAGTCTATTTAGTGTAAACACAAGTTACATCCCTAAGACTGTGTTGAAATCGCTAGGCCGATAAGACATCCCTTGGACTGTTTTGAAATCGCTAGCCCGCGAAGTAAATATCAAAAAAGGACCAGTTAAAACTTTTTTTCAAATAAAAGAAAGTTGTTCCTAGCATCAAAAATATCTGGGTTCACAGACATGAAGCATCGATCAAAACAGGAGTTGATGTCGGCGAGGATTTTTGTCATAAGCTTACAGTCTACAGTAATACTGCCTAATAATCTACACTGAAATCAAATATAATGTAACCCGGTATATTTTCTTTCAAACCCGCAAGCGGCGCGAAGCGTCGCCGGGGTCTGATCTGTAAACACTTTGCATGTCCACTCTATGCAATAAGTTGTAAGGACATTTTACAAACATTTCTCTTTGTTATAATTGCTAATGCATGCATGCACTTTATGAAAACATTTGAAAAGGATATTCGTCCCGTGAATATTCCTGTGTAAGAAAGGTTTGTCCCGTGGTTGAGGGGATGTGTTTAGTCCCGTAACCATTTATGCCGGAATCATTCCGGTAATAGATAATTCCTGGTGTCTATAAATAATGCCGAGATTCAAACAAATATTTCTTCATTTGAATATTGACATGTGTGCATTTAACTTCTGCTTATGGAAGTTTCAACATGGACTCGTTTGTTTCATAGTGTGATAAGAAGTTGCCTAACGGTCCCTTTCTGGAGGCCCCTTTGGAAACTTTGCATATCGATTAGACCATATCTTTAACAGGGCTTTCCTTTCCTAAGCAATTAAAAAATAAAAGTAATGTATTGTTAAAAAAGACCCATCTATCCAGAACATTCCTACACATAGAGCATATTCCGCGTGGTACCGTTACATGTAATACAGTGAAATATATAGTGCTTACCTTAAAGGCAACATTGACCAGTAAACTGCAGACGCTAATACCATACTAAGAAGTAATCCAGCAAAATAGTAGCGTACCTTCATATTGAATGTTTGTTCATGTTCTAGTGTCTTTATGCAGACGTCTGTTACCTTATCCGTGGTTGGTTGGTTGGTTGACGGGTTTATCGCCTACATGACTCCTCCCATGCGGGTTCCGTTTCACTGACGGAGGTCGGTATCTCGTGTACGGGAAAGCATAAGGCACAGTCTAGACAACTTGAACTTAACTATACAACGTCTGTACTGTACACGTGGGCTTATGTGTATTATCATTGTTTATCAAATGTAGTGGTACCAACAATACTAATATTTATATAACAATTTGCTGATCATTTGCTGATCATTTGCTGCAAGTAACAAATTTATTTTTGAAAATGTTCAAACAATATTAGGCACGTTGTACACTATAACAATACATTGTACCGACGCCCGACTTCCAAAACTCATTATCATTTAATGCTTCATTTCGAACACGCAAGCTAAATTCCGATACCTTTGTCTCTAGTAGTAACAATGCTTACAGGAAACGGAGGTTGAGATGTGATAATAAACCTTGGTTTAATAGGGAATGCCATTTAAACAGAGTTGAATTTAATAAAGCCAAGGCCTTATTTCACAAAGTAAATAATCCTATAAATAAAACTAATCTCAATAGAGCTAGTAAAGTTTATAGAAAAACATTGAATACAAATTACAGAAATTTTCAGGAGAAATTGTCAAGCGAGTTAAGAAATACTGCTAGAATGGATTCAAAAAAAATACGGAATATTTTGAATAAATGTGACGGATCTGTAAAGAAAGGTAATGCTGATATATGTATTACTGAATTATATGAATACTTTAAGGATCTGAACAAGTCTGTTTATGATGATGACGATTTTGAGCTGGAAAATCCTGATAATAGTATTTTTGATGATTATCTGAATGGTGAAATTACCACTGATGAAATTAAATTTTCTTTAATCAATTTGAAGAATAGTAAAGCCTCTGGTATAGATCAAATCCTAAATGAATATCTAAAAAGTACAATGGATGTATTTTTACCAATTTATCAAAAAATATTTAACCTTATTCTGAATACTGCGTCTATACCAGATGTGTGGAAGATCGGTATTATAAAACCAGTATATAAAAACAAAGGCGATCCAAAAGATCCGGATAATTATAGAGCGATCACTTTAGTCTCGTGCCTTGGCAAAGTTTTCACTTCGGTTATTAATAATCGTTTAAATAAAATTTCTGACGAATTTGACCTGATAAGCAGTGCACAAGCTGGGTTTAGAAAGGGTCATTCTACAACCGATAACATGTTTGTATTGTATTCTTTAATCTCAATATATTTTTCATTAGGAAAAAAACTTTATTGTACGTTCATCGATTTTAGTAAGGCGTTCGATTCTGTATGGAGAGTTGGTCTGTGGAAAAAGCTCCAAAAAAGCAACATTACTGGAAAAATTTTCAATATTATTTATAAGCTATATGATAAAACCAAATCATGTGTTAAAAATGGATGTGAACAGTCGGATTTGTTCAATTGTGAGATCGGTTTAAAACAGGGCGAAAATTTATCGCCATTTTTGTTTGCAATTTATTTAAATGATTTAGAAACTTATCTTGTTGAAAAAAATGTAAATTGTCTTCAAACAATAGACAAATTATGTATTGATAACATTGGAGTGTATCTCAAACTATTCATTATCTTATATGCCGATGATACTGTCCTGTTTTCAGAAACACCAGATGGTTTACAGTTAGCTTTAAATGAATTTGAACAATACTGTAATACTTGGAAGTTAACTATCAATTCAGGAAAAACTAAAATTGTCATCTTTTCAAAAAGAAAATGTGCAAGAACTCCCCATTTTACATTATGTAACGTAGAATTAGAAATACTGGAAGGGTATACCTATCTAGGATTATTCTTTAATTTTAGTTGTAGCTTCTTTAAAGCAAGGAAAAAAATTGTTGAACAAGCACAGAAATCAGTGTTTGCTGTCTATAAGAAATTGAGAAACATATCTTTACCAGTTGATCTACAATTGAAGATATTTGATTCATTAATTATGCCAGTTCTTCTCTATTCATCAGAAATATGGGGTTTTGAAAACACAAATATTATAGAAAAAATCCATCTTCAATTTTGTAAATATATACTAAATGTAAGAAAAAGTACACCAAATTTCATTGTTTATGGTGAGCTTGGAAGATACCCACTAGACATCGAAATTAAATGTAGAATAATAGTATTCTGGCATAAGTTGATTACCTCTAGTAAGTTATCAAGTACTATTTATAAGCTTATGTATACATTACATGAAAATGGAACTATGTTATTTAAATGGCTCGCATATGTTAAAGATATTTTTTCTCAAACTGGCCTGAACTATGTGTGGTACTATCAATCTACATGTTCTTTTTCAAAAGACGAAATTAAGAGGCTTGTGAAAAGTAGACTGAAGGATCAATTTATACAGAAATGGTTTGATAATATTCTTAACTCCTCTAGAGGACAAACATATTCAATATTAAAGACAAAGTTTGAACAAGAAAAATATTTAATTAAACTTAATACAAATGATAGGAAAATAATGTGTAAATTCCGTTCTTGCAATATGCATTTACCCATAGAAAAAGGAAGATGGTTAGGTATTCCTCGTCAAGAAAGAACCTGTACATTATGTAATTTGTACATTGGAGATGAATTTCATTACTTATTTATATGTGAAAGTGTTTTAGTTAAATGTCTAAGAGAGAAATATATACCAAAATATTATTTCACTTATCCAAGTCAAATAAAAATGCAAGGATTGTTTCATATATTTAATGTAAAAATTTACACAAAACTTTGTAAATTCATAGAAAAGCTTGAAAAAATAATAACTTAATTTCTGTACTATTTGTGTACTTCTATATGTATCTATGCTATGTACAATGTTGTAATTGTGTACATCACACGCCATGTGTCATACTTACTATATGTATGTGACCTCTTGTTACACACGTAAGTGTGTCGGAGTGAATAAATAAAACTTACTTACTTAATAACTAATTTGTTGACGAAAGCAATAATTTCAGTCTATAGATAACTTTTGATTATCATGCTGACATAAAAAGAACACTATACTTGTGGACACGAATTTATATAAAATATTTTTATTTTCGGTCAACATTAAGCAATAGCCTTGATACCGACAAACGTCTCACATTCCCCTCAGGTTAAGTCTTGTTACTAACAACCCTCCAAACACTACCCAAGGTCTAGTCTTGGTACAGACAAACGTCCCACACTCTCCCAGGTCAAGTCATGTTACAGACAAATGCCAAACATTCCTCAAGGTCTAATTTTGTTACAGACAAACGTCTCACATTCCCCAATGTCTTGTCTTGTTACAGACATAGGTTCCACACTCCCCCGGGCCATGTCTTGGTACGGACAAACGTCCCACACTCCCCCGGGCCAAGTGTTGGTACAGACAAACGTCCCACATTCCCCCGGGCCAAGTCTTGGTACGGACAAACGTCCCACATTTCCCGGGCCAAGTCTTGGTACAGACAAACATCCCACACTCCCCCGGGCCAAGTCTTGGTACGGACAAACGTCCCACATTCCCCCGGGCCAAGTCTTGGTACAGACAAACGTCCGACACGTCCTTAGGTCTAGTCTAGGTACAGACAAACGTCCCACACTCCCAAAGGTCTAGTCTTGTTGCAAACATAGGTCCCACACTCCCCCGGGCCAAGTCTTGGTACAGACAAACGTCCCACATTCCTCTAGGTCTAGTCTTGGTACAGACAAACGTCCCATATTCCTCTAGGTCTAGTCTTGGTACAGACAAACGTCCGACACGTCCTTAGGTCTAGTCTAGGTACAGACAAACGCCCCACACTCACCCGGGTCTAGTCTTGGTACAGACAAACATCCCGTTCTCCCCAAGGCATAGTCTTGTAACAAATAAACGTCCCACACTCCCCAGGTCCTAGTCTTGTTACTGATTAACGTCCCACACTCCCCAGGTCTGGTCTTGGTACTGATAAACATCCGCTGTTACTCGTAAAAATATACATTTAAGATATCATTGTAAGAAACCTGTTGATAACTTATTTCACTCTTTGATTTTGTTTGGTGTTTAAATGTGTCCGTATACTGCCATGCCAGTAAACATTGGAAGATCACTAAGGGGAACCTACATATAAAATTTGAGAAATATCCCTCCAGTATTTCCGGAACTATAGCGATAACAAACCTTTACTGTCAAAATACAAGATAGCTGCCTGTTGGCCATTTTGTTTCTTTGATCAGACTTTAAAGTTATCATTCACAACTAGGGACCAAAGGGAACCTACATATAAAATTTGAGAAAGATCCCTTGGGTACTTTTTGTGAAATAGCGATAACAAGAATTGTTTAAGGACAGACGACGGACGGTCGGACCACGGGCGCAGGGCGATTTGAATAGCCAACCATCGATGATGGAGGGCTAAAAATCGTATTTGCCAACTCTCCCTATTAAGGAGGGAGCCTACCGATTTTGGACCCTTAAATTTAGTCTTTTCAACTAGTGAATTTGCTAAACTATTCATGTATTATAAGATCTATTGATTTCATCTGAAAGAACAACTCAGAATATGTCATTTTTAAGAGTTATTTTGTCTCTAAGGGGTAATACACAAATTATATTTTTGTTTTCATTTTGAGCATGCAGAATATCCCCCATGGAAATTTCAAAAAGGTATGTACTTTAGCCTGTATTCACCAACCATGCATTTAATCTCACATTTATGCACTCTTTCTTTCGGTTTTAGATTTGATCATATCAAAAATTTTCAATCTGATTGGAACTATAACTCCTGCATTTTTAAATAATTTCTGACAAACTTTATTTCTGTTAATTTCTGACAAACTACATACTAATAAGGGCATCCACTTAACATTTCAAGTAAACTAGAAGTCATTAATTGTTAAGGATTTATTTAAATCACAATGGACATGATGATGTGCTAACAGCCATCTTTCAAGTTCTTGTCAGGAAGACCGCCTTCTTTTTAACGCTGACCGTGTTTCCCGA